GACTAGTGACCAGTCGCGACGCCAGGCTGCAAATATAGGCATTAACACAATCCTGCGGAAAAAACCGCAGAGACTTTTTATATGGCCCAATGCATTTCACACGAGCAAAACAGATATTAACTTGTCTTTTGAAAACTATTTTGAATAATTTTTTCAAGTCTGGTATGGCGACATGAGATATGGGCTCTGGAAATATAGTCCAATTTCGATATCTACCGCGGCCAAAGAAGCAAATGTCGCCTATTTTCAGCTATATCATGCGAATCTATATGGAAATACCTTTCAAATGAGGAAAGCAATAAAAGTGTTCCTTTTGAGATCGATTTCCAGTAAATCTCTAGCAATATTTGGGAAATACTTGGTGAAACAACACGTTCTGAAAAGAGAAGTGTCGAACTTCTTTAGCCGGTCCGATCTACAAGGAAATTAATGTGGTACGGGAGAGGAAAGCTCACATTTTCTCATTTGGGCGTGTTAAACGGTACAATTCGACAATTGTACAATTGTTTCGCGCAAGCATAGCTATGCCATAGTTATCGTCAACGGGAAGAAATGAAACGAATTTTTGAGTCTATTATAAATGAATTCAAATTCGTCACGTGTTGCTTTGCTGCTAAGTATGTAATGAAAACTTAAAACGGATATATTTCCTGTTTTAAAATATTTGACATAATAACTTTATATTATTTATGTGCTTTCATGCGTTTTTTTAAATAAAATTTATGTTAAAATATGCTTTTATTTTCAATGCGTTTAAGCAAAAAATTTGTATTTAAATGCAAATAACTCTGGAAAAAAAATTCATCATAATGGAATTATTACATAGAACCGAAAATGAAAATAAACAAAAAAAGACACACAAAAAAGACGCAAATTAGTCACCCATGTGTTCCCTAAACTATAAATGTAAACAATGACGATGTCGACGCCACAATGGTGATGGTTTCGGCTGGTGACAGCGATTGTGCCATCGTTGATGATGTTTCTTTTTTACTCACTTCACTTTTAACACTGAAAGAGGGTGGAAATATATTAAGTAGTGAAAGTCTACAAAGTCTACAAAGTCATACAATAAATGTAGATAACCGTGAAATTCTTCAATCCTCGAAATGTTACTTTGTCGGCTTTGTATCAGTCCCTCCGTTTGCCTCTTGATTCTTGAATATAAAAAAATTGTGGGAAAAAATTTAATTTGTATATACGTTGTCCCGCTTGAACAAAACTTTTTAAACTTTTTAAAATGTTGACTTATTCATCACTTTTTGCAACAGTTCGGCCCAACTTTGCTTCTTTTCCAATGTATATAATAATTTTTTTTTTATCCGAATTCTTGTCACATATGCATAAAGTAAGATATTCGTCACGCGAGATTAAAAAAGCAAATCGTTTGTTGTTTTAATTGCTGATACGCTATCCAAGGCGAAAATTAAGCGCAACCTAAGTAGTTCTTCAGCAGTGGCAAAATGATTGCCATGGAATTCCTTCTCATTCCTGAATATTTCAACTGCTCAAGGGCCGACTAACAAGCATGCAAAAGCGCGTTCTTCAGAGTCATCGTAAAAAGATTATATATGTCGTTGGTTAGACCTGCGCTTGAATACGCTTATGTCGTATTACGTCTCCGTCTCATCTTTGCCACGTAGACGCCATTGAATCCATTCAAATGGTATTCTTACTTTTTGCATCAAGGAATTTGCAAGCTTTATTACCGCCATATGAACGCAGGCAGGCTATTGCTAAAAGGTTCATCTTCACTGCAGAAGATATTAGCTTTTTAATTAAGCTGATAAATGGTGTCATTGATCCACCAGCCCAGAAACTATCTTTAATGTTCACGTCCGTCCATCTAGGTGCTTTCGGCTCACAGAACTTAGTCAAATGTAGATCAAGCTATGAATTATTAAACTCATTTAGGGTCACACGTAAATCCTATCTCACAAAGAAGACTTCATATGCTCTTCAAGTACTTCCAATGTCCTATTTTAGCAACATGTGAGACTAAGCAAAGATCCTTACCAACTCTCTTAACATAGCTTTGAAAATGTCGTAACAGAGCTCTTTTTTGGCAAAAGAAAGCAAAATAATAATATTTAAGGTGTTTATTAAGGATAGCGTATAGTATTAGAAAAAAAAATTAATTTTTAAAAAATATTAAAAGATTCTAACATCGCAGACTATCGCTGGAGACATCTTTAGTTCAAGGGTAAGCTTCCAACATTTCTTCATCGACGGTTTACACTTACGTAATAAATTTCCAAGTTTTGGTGGAACTAGTTTTGAAAAGCAGAATATGAAATTTTTGTGGCTTGTTTGAAAACTACTTTCAAATAGATTTAAGTGAATGTTGGTGGAGTTTTCTGGTTTAGCCCCAATAGAGTCTCTAATTTGCTTAGTCATTGTTTGCTTATATAATAAAATTCAAAGATTTGATAAAACTATTTTCGAAAACCAGAATTTGTATTTGCTTGACTGGCTTGAAAGTTACTTTCATATAAATTTATAAACGGTCCCGTAGAAGCACCTTACGATTCTTGATCTGAACGTAGCATGCTTTTAAACTTAACCACATCTTGATCTCAAAAGAGTACGCAACAGAGCTTAGGGCATTTGCCAACTCTCTTAACAAAGCTGTGTAAACGCTTTTGTCAGTTAAATGCGAATTTATTTCCACCTCCTTGATTAAATTTTTTAAAAAAAGACAAAAAGAACTTGAAATTAATGGCGAATGTTAGCTTCTGATTGTGCAGAGTAGGACTACCTGAAAATAAAATGCAAAAATGGACGTGATCCTGAGCGCATAAACAAATATGGTTAGTGTTCATTCAAAAGTCCATTCGTTAAAATTATTTGTCTCGATCGACCACTAACATCTTTCCGAAAAGCGATTAAGACCACGAAGGGCATCCAAGATTCGTTCAAATTCACATTTACGGCCACTTTCAATTATATTTACAAGCACCACAAAATTTTACTTATGTTTTCGTTTTATTTTTGGAATTTTATGACTTTGTATATGCATAGAACGAACCTATTAAAAGTTGAAGATGTCGTCTCTGCTGTCATTCATTCATATAAGAGTCTAAGAATTTTTAAGTATTTTCCATAAGAACTTTTTGTACTTTCAAAAGTACTGGTTGGCTATTACTTAAAAGTGCTCGTTTAGATCATTAATAATCTTTTCATTTGATTCGCTTAGCCTACCCCATCTGCTCCCCCTCAAAAAAAAAAAAGAAAAAAAAAATGATGATTCAATTTGTTATCGATAATCTTAACAAAACTCTTATTTATGGTTGTCAGGTTCTGCAAAAAAACCCTTTAAAATATTTTTTCACCCTTACGATGCTTAGCAAAAACTTTGGTTTCGTTTTCTTTTGGTCTCTACATGTCACTAATTGTTATTCAACAAACTCTAACGAAGTGGAAAATGACTCTAATTGAAAACATTTGAGCATTTGCTTTATTGTTGTTGGTATTGTATTATCCTTTATGCAATAAGAGTGGTTTACCGTCTCAAAGGAACCAAAAACTTATGTATATTAAACCAAAAAGAAGGAGTTATTTGAGTTGTTCTTTTCTTCCTGGTTTTTATTAATTTTTTCCAGTGATAGCTTCTAACAGGATTCTAATCCTTGAGGTAAATGCTGCAAATCTAAGCAGGTGTAGTTTTGCAAAACTTTTTAAATCGGTTTTAAGTGCTACGAAGTCTTATAAATGTTAAGCTAGGAATAGAGAGAGAGAGAGAGAGAAAGAGAGAGATGTAAACAAGCGTAGAGCAGGAAAACTGGGAAAGAGAAACAGCGAAGAGGGAGAGAAAACAGAAGAAGAAGGGTTCGGTTTTAAGTGCTATTAAGTCTTATAAAAATTAAGCTAGGATGAGAGAGAGAGTGAAAGAGATAAAGAGGGTGACATAAACGAGCCTAGAGCAGGAAAAGCGTGAAAGAGAAAGAGCGAGGAGAAAAAAAGGGGGTTCCGTTTTAAGTGCTACGAAGTCTTATAAAAGTTAAGCTAGAATAGAGTGAGAGAAAGAGGGAAACATAAACGAGCGTAGAGCAAGAAAGGACGAGAGAAAGAAAGAGGGACGAGAAAGAGAAGAACGGAAGGATGGAGAGCAGATATTACAAAAGTTGTACGAAAAAAAAATTTGACAGTTTCAGAAAATAATCAAAAAGGAACAATAGCTTTGCATAACGAATCTTTCAGTACAAAACAATTGCGAAAAAGTTAGCTAAACGTGGCCGTCTCACTTAGTCGCTAACCTTAGCAAGTAATTGGTCTTTCTTTTAAATTAATATCTCTTAAAGGCGGTAAGTTATAAATTTTTATGGCGCTATGGAGCTTTTGGTAGAGTGTCGATGTTGTCGGATCACACATCAACCTTTTACATTATTTGGTAGCTACCAACTAGGACTTTATATGCGAAAATGCATCATTCTATCCCAGCATAGTCGCAACAACATACAGGCGAACACATAAGCACAGAGACTAGCGGTCAGAGTCAGAACTTTGTATATGTATGCTTTGCGACGTCCGTGAAGTGAAAACCTACTACCCTTTCGGGGTGGGCATAGAAGCTTATAAAGTTTCGATTACAAAGACTTTTCCATTCCAAAAGTTAGAAAGGATGACGTACGGTAAGAGACTCTCAGAAATTTTTTTTATTAGCGGCACTTTCTCATTTCACAACGCTGCAGCACTTGCTCGTGATAAGGATGTACGAATTATGCATTTGTCCGTCCCTGGTATTTATTGTTTGGTGTGAGATTTAAGGTATTGAACTCTGCAAAGATTTGCTTGGTTTATTTTTTAACACAATTAAATCTTATTTGGTTATGGAAACATTGCCGCCTTTCATATATATGCCTTAAGCCATATATTTGCATTTGGTAGTGCTTATTTAATCTATTGTTTATATAGTGTGTGATTGAAATAAAAACAAAAAGAAATATTAATTTTTTCTTTTCTTATTCTCTTATCTCTTTCTAGCACTCCACCCACGGTTTGTCTATATATATTTGCCTGTGTGCGTGCTTAATGTGTGTAAGCGTGAATTTGGTCGTCGTAACGCACAAAATCTCCCTCCCCGTCGAACTTCTTATGTTTTTGCGCTTTTTATATATATGCATGGGCATGTAAAAGTATAATTAAATATAATATGTTTTGTTAAATGTCTTTCTAGGGCGTTAACAGTGAAAAAGCGATAGTGTGTGTTAGTGAGTGTTTCTTGAAAAATTAAAGCAGAGAGCCTTTAAACTTCAAAAAAATAACAAGATAAAAAAAAATTTCGATTAAATTCGAAAAATAATTTAATTCCAATATACTTGATACTAAGCGCAGTAAGAGGCGTATGATAAACGTTAAAATGGATAATTTGGCAAACATAATAAAATGGTTAACGCCGTTAGCTATGCTGATGGCTTATTGTAAGTATTGCACTTAAATTTTTAATTAATTTTAAAACACACACGTAAAACGCGTTACTTTTTAAAAGTAGATTAAAAGTTAAACATTTTTTTTTTTGTTTTCTAGTTAGTCAACATATCTCCTATTCTCATTCATTTTTAAAACATGCTTTCATTTCCATATCACTTACTGTCTGCTGTTTATCCTGTGTTTACTTAGAAAGAAAAAAAAAAACAAACAAAAACAAGCAGAAAAACTAGAACATTTCCACGCATATCGTTTTCATGTAAAACGCATTACCATTGCCTTTTTTAAACCAATCAGACAACAAAAAAGACGTATGTTAGTTTTGTCGTTCAATGTGGAATAGAGTCACGAAACTAGCTTTCAACTCGCCTGTCCGCTGCTGCAAACTTCAATGCCTTAAAAATTGTATTAAATGGAAACTTCAAGGCCAAGTCCAAATTTTGATTAAACCGAATTTTAAAAAATCTTCAATACTTGGAAGAGGCGGGTAGTGCTGACGGTTTCGGAGAGTACTTTTTCACAGAAGTCCGAAGAACCACAAAATCCATATCCGGCGTGATGTTTTACTTCCGGATAGTCAAAAGGAACAACAAACGCTCGAGGAAGCACACAAAATTTACACTTTCATATCTGGGGTGTAATCATATAAAGTCTGGGTGCATTTCCTGCGTCTATCAGTAAAAGTTACAATGTTGTTCACTTATCTTATAGAAGATAGTCATATGTCTTAGATTAAAAATATCTATAAAATTGTTTATAGCTAAGAACATAAAAAATAAGGACTTTCTTATTTCTGTCAAAAGTAACTGCTTTTTGAAAATCATTTTACAAAAAAAGCGACAAAGCTTCTCAAAATATTCGTCGAATTCATAGCGAAGATGCTATATGGAAATCACTCGTTTCTGTGCTGCCTTCTGATTCACCAATCGTAAATAAAGTCCTAACAATTCTTCAAAAAATTGAGAAAACCAGTACATTTGACCTTGTGACCTGAATTAAATCTTATCTCAAAGGCCCAGTTTTGAACCGTTGATTTAAGACTGAATTCAAGCAGAAGCTCGATTTCTGAGCACCATATGATATAGCAAATGAATGAATAAAATGTCCATCTGCGGACCATTGCTGAAACGAAACCAAATCGAACGGTTTCTGATGAGAATGATAACGAGAGGAAGATGGGTTACATAGATTATAATGTGTGGAAAGGTCATAGATGACGCTGTACAAACGGGGAGAAAGATCAGATTGACGCTACATAAGGGTGGACTGGTAGAGGATCGCGGGTCGTCAGCTGCTTCAAGCTGGTCAGAAGGCAGATTTTATTCACGACCAACCAAGGTACCAATCGAGCGCTTCAAAATGACCGATCAAGGTACTCGCCCGCAGTACAATGTAAAATGGAAATAATTCTCCTTTTAAAAACCAAACCCGCTTATTTTGCTCATTGCTTGTAAAGTGCAACTGTAAGATTCGTCCACAGTTGAATTTTCTCTGCTTGTTTCTAGTTATTTCTTCGTGACTTTCAATTCCAATTTCATATCTCAATTGTCCTCTTTACCACATACCCTTTTTTTTACAATTTTCGTCGATCTCAGTCTACGTTGAAAACAAAGGCGAATTTTTCATTCCATAATAGGTGCGCTACTAATCAAGCGAGTTTAATACATAATTGGTGCTGACGGGACGTTTGGTGAACATATACGTCTACAATCAGTTAACTTGAAGAATAGTGTTGATCACCAGGGATGGATGATATTCAAAGCCCAAATAACTATGATGCAGACTAAGCGAACTATTGTTGACGACATAGTTTAGTATACATGGCCAGCCTTCATCGGGAGTCAGCTGGCCGCGATATATGTTTGCTTATCCTCAATAATCACCACAGAACTCTACCGACTGATGTCATTGAGCCCAAAAACGGGAGCAATATATTAGATTGCTGCATAATTATCAGAAGTGCTTTATTTTATAAATATATGAATGAAAACATCCTTCTACTTTTACGTTCTAAAAATACGTGTCGATAATCATACTCATATTTGTCATACTATGCTGTTCCATTTTGAGAAAGGCTAGAAAGCAGCGCAGTTATTTCGCAATCTCAGCGAACTTTTCGGTGAGAGCACAAACCGCGGAAGTCGACGCCGGCAATGGTTGGCCCGTTTCAAATCTGGCAACACTAGCTTGGAAGCCAGGAAGTCAGATTTCGACGATTAGGCACTTTTGGCAGCCTTGGAAGGGAACGGAGGCTTGATAACTCGAATGCTGGCGGACAACTTCAATGCGGGCCATCGCTCGTCTTCTCAAAAAGCTTGGATAGGAATTGAAGTAGATAGTGACTACGCGGTGACTACGACTACGGATTAATCATTTAAAAACTTTACTGTTGCATTTTTATCTTTCCTTTTTCATAATAAATCATGTTCAAGAACGTTTGATAATATCGTTTAAAAACGTCTGATAATTATACGCCATCTTATTATTAAAACTCACGACATTAAGATTTTTCAACATGACGACTATCGGTTTCACATAACAGAACCTGCCAAGGACACATTAGCAACAGCAATATGGAACGCGTTATCCTCTCGGTTGTCATCAGTAGACATTTCTACTTTTGATTAACGCTGGTAACAATCGATGACATATTATTTGTTCGAACAGAGCTTCCATTCTTATGACGATACACAAAAAAGTATTCTTCTTAAAACCAGTCTAAAATGTCCGTTGGCCTTTTTAATCTATTCTGGCTAAAGACTTTACTTTGAATAGATTATTTTTATATTTTTTCGAAATTTTTAAAATTTCATTGATCAGCAAATATTAATTATGCATTTCGTACATTTATCCATAAAAAATGTGCACCAAATGTAGTAAAAATAGCTGTTGTTAGCCCCAAAATTCGCTGGCGATTCTTTGTGGGAAAAAATTGGCTTCATGCACTAACGCATATACGTAACGACTAAACGGAATTTTTGACTTAAAAACTCTCGACACTTTTCTGAAGAAATACACTTTGCATGTAATTTTACTGTCGACTTTCTTACTTTAAGACGTTCAAGATCCGTTTCCGCTTAGTTACTTTATAGGTTCCAACATTCGTCTCAAGGTGTAGATGCAGCTTGTACTTCTACTATAGTCGCCATGTTGGAAGTGTATTTATCACATTGCAAATTGTTGCACGCAGGTTGGTATTGAAAGCAAGCCAATTGGATTAGGCGACACGCCTACAATGCAATGTAAACTAAAAACAACTCCTTCTTATTGGATTATTTCCTTATTATTTATAAATTACAATAAATTACGAATGCAACGATAACAATTTCTGCAGGTACTTTTACAGTGCCTAGACAAAAGTGAAAAAACATTGCCCACCCGATGTTAGACAATCGGTATTTGAATCTTTTTTTTCTTGGGTGAAGGAAGTGGTTGCAGAAGATTCGGCTATGGCTGCTTGGCCGAAATTAATTTTCTCACATCGTTTCAATTATTTTCATTTGCAAGCATTTGCATTGGCCAGCCATATGTATATATATATAAATATATATATATATATATATATATATGTATGTATGTATGCATCTACAAAGTATTAGAAAAAGAGACCGTATTCAAATTTATAAAGAAAAAAACAGTTACGCTATGAAAACGTATAAGTACTCATAAGTGCGCTTATTTTCATGGCAATGACTTATGAAGCCCTCATTTCCGTTTTGTAAAATTCATACAGCTTTAGAAGTTCGCTTTTAACTTCATATCGCCTTTTAGTTTGTTGTAAAATTTTGCACTTATTTCCTTTTATTGTAAATAACGTTTTCCATTTCCCTAATCTTTGTTTGCTTGTTGGTTTTAAATATTTAACAATTTTTTTTGCTTGCTGTCATCTTTGGATTACATAATAATAAATTTCTTCGCTGTTAATTTGGGGAAACATGTACACCACACCTGGTACAGGGTATATTGACTTAGTGCGAGCGTATGTAACACACAGAAGGGTTTAAGATAGACCCATGTTTTATTACACCCATCGATTAAGAATCGTAATCTGTACTGATATAAGATTATCTGTCCGTCAGTCTGTTTCTCAGCGCGTCTAATGTCTGTCTGTGTATGTTGGTGTTCAAACTACAGGACGCAGTTTTTAATATATTTTGATGAAATTTGGTACAGTAACCCAAGGACGAAAGGTCTTGAAAATGCTTCAGATCGGTCCTCTTTTTTGACCACTCCTTATATAATTGCCTTATTTTGTAAAGTGGTTGTATGGAAAAGAATTGCAATTTTCAAAATTTCTCAGCACAAATGGCTTAGTAGTAGTATTTCCGCATTTTAAATTGGTGTGAAAACTTTAGACTGGCTGAGGCAATTTTTGAACCCCCTCTCACATAACTAAAACTAACGTTCGTACGACAAAAAGATGTCAATAAAAACATTATTTACATTTAGTATACTTGTTGAATATATTGCGGTTAACTCGTCCATAGGCAAATATGATGTCGTCACCTAATTGCAAAATGAAAATAAAATTTAATTTTTAAATTTATCAAGGAAGAGATAAGAAACTCTGCATATATTTTGCAAATAGATTCGTGACAGCTCGGGTATAATACCGGAGATCTTCCAAGGTTTGGATAGTCCTCATGAAAATAATTAGATTGAGCAAAAATGCGAAAATTTTCTTAAATCGTTCATCATTCTAGTAATCAAAACTGCTCATATCATAAACGTATACGCGGTCCTTACACTCTCTGGGGATCTTCGCCTTCTTTTTATCACACTTCAACCACAAAATACTACTTGTCTGACTTAGATTATCTCCCTTTAATGACGTTTCGCTTGTTTTCGTTTAATGTGCAGCTGTTAGTGACGATCCGATTTCAAAGCATCAATGAACTGTAAATGTTGTCAAATGATTTATTATGCTCTTAATTGGGATGCAATAGCGGATGTACAAGTAGCGGCAATGGTAAATGGCCTTCGAATGAAATAT